AACTACACTTGTCCAAGGGCCAAAAATAATCCAAGAGACACTTTCGGGGGCCAGAGATTTTATATATATATATTTATAAATCATAATAAATTATATATATATATTTATATATATATAATTGATTAATATGTTCACTTTATAAGCCTGTATCCGGGGTAATAAACCTGAAAGCAGTCCTGATTGGCAGGGAAAGGAATCAACTTTTTTATTAATACCGTGTCCTGATTGGTGGGAAACGGTTGCAGGATATAAGAAAATTGTTTGCCAGGCACGCAAACATGTCACTGTCAAAGAGCCTCAAGCGTAAAGTTGACGTGGAAAACCGCAGTTTTAATGAGGAATGGACGGTTAAATACGCATTCATCATGCCATCGTCCAATAAGGCTACACCTGTTTGCCTTATCTGCAATGAAACGGTCGCTGTTGCAAAAGAGTATAATCTCAGGCGTCATCGTATCACAAAGCATGCAACTTTCTCACTTTTTTTTTACGCCACAGTCACCCCCGCCGCCAGTTGGTGGTCAGTCACTGCTCTATGTCATTGTCAACCAGTATTATTATATATCATATCATGTAATATCTACTTGAGGGCATGATGGTATGCTAAGAAAAACAGACAGGCTTACTTTGGTTGTGCAATATTTGATGTGATGAAATATCTGTTTTTGTTGTATCATTTTCATTGTTGTTTACATTTATTTTGTACCTTTTTTTGAAAGAAATATAAAACATTGAGTATTCAAACCCTAACTCAACCCCAACTAAAGTTATAATTGTTTAATATTCCGTTTTTTTCCCGTTTCAATAGACCTTAAGTAGCTTTAAGTTTGTTAAAATTGTCTATTTCACGAGTAATGTTGAATCAACTCGTACCAAGATGTTGTGTTTTTTGTGGCTGCTCCACAGATTAAATGGAAATATAGGGTTTTTAACAATTATTCAACGAGCCTCATTTGATATCTAGACACAAACAATAGCTGGTGTTGGTATGTCAGGGTTTCATCAAGTCATCTTGCTTTAGAATTCTTTAAAACATTTATGACGAGAGGCTAAAAAAAGTCCCAGGCAGCTTTAAAATAAAAACAACAGACATGGCATCATTCTTCAACATTTCATATAGGTTGCACCCTCGCTGGCACATCCACTGAGACTCAATGCAACTTGAAAAATGGAAAACTGCTTAAGTTGCCAGTCAGGTGCTGCAGCAAAATATCATTTATCTTTTATAGATGACAGCTATTTTGATTAATGACTCTGCAATGAACGAGACAAACTCGTAAAAATATGCTATCATTGCAGGATTTTGCAGAAACGGGCGTTATGGAGCCTCTATTTTTGTGCAGTGGCACATGAAGAAAAAGCTAAACTCACCGGAGTTGGTCATGAACTCGAAGGGTCCGCTGAATTCCCCGTAACCCGCCGCCGTGCGAGCGCGGACGTGAAACACGTAGGAGTTGAGGGGGGTGAGACCCTTGATGTCGGTGTTTCTGGACGATGTTTTTATGATTCTGTAGCTTCTCTCGTTTTGGTCCTGAGGATGACAGATGGCAAGAGAGTAAGAAACAAAGAGGGAACAATCTGATGTGCTTTTCTCACAGTCTGTTCAAACATATTGGCTTATCTGTTTCCTGTTTTGTTTAGTTTTCTCATGGCATGCCTGTGTTTACTTCCTGTCTTGGAACAGTCTGTATTTTCCCGCCTTTTTTGATTCTGTGTCCTGGCATTATTAGTTTCACCTGTTCACATTCAGCCCTACAACCACCTGACCTCTAGTACACCTGACTTCATCCTCTCATCAGTTCAGCATGTATTCAGGTCCTGTTTTTAGGGTTAGGGTTAGGAATAAAAGCTTGAATGCTGTCTCCTTCTCCACCATCAAAGTAGTAAAATCAGACATGACACAATGAGAAAAACGTTTGAAACTATAACAGGAAACAGCTCATCTAGCATCATGACACATATGGCCATTTTGAGATTCTTTGCATCAGCAGAAACTCTATTTCCCATGAGCCCCCTCACCTTCTCGTAGTATTTGACCTCATACTCCAGGATGACCCCGTTGGCTCGATCCGGCGGCTGCCAGGCCAGGGAGATGGTGTGTCTTGTGATATCCTTCGCCTGGATGGAAGTCACCGGAGAAGGAGCTATAAAAATGATCAAAGACAGACAGAAAACACAAGTTTAGCCCTCTGCTTCGTCCCAGTCCTCCATGTTGTTTCAGTGTGTTTTGAGTTGCTCTCCTCACTCTTAACTCCTGCTGAGAAACTCAAACACTGAGTCGCAAACACATTCAATTTGAATTTGGAGGCGTCCGGCCACACAGTCTATGGTAATACACTTGAGAACTAATGGTTAGCATCAATAACATTGATCCAATTTCCACTCGGCCGATGCGTGCCACTTTTCCTACAACCCCGGCAAAATAATGTCCAACTTCATCTTCTGCTGATTACACTGAGAAAAACCTCGCATTGCTACAAAGCCTGCCTCGGAAAAGCTC